TGATACACAAAGTAAGAAAATCCTGTGCACCAAGAGCTTTGTAATACATTCTTCCAGGGTATTGGACAGGTCCAACCCAAGGCTGTTTCAAATCATCAAGAAAGGACATAACCAAACGCATCAGACATAAAATATGCTGAGTCAAGTGGCTGAGCCTGGAGTTCAGATTCCAGAGTAAGTCTCTGTTTTCTTCAAGTGGATCCAGCAGGCCCAGATGATGTCATAAGATGAGTATCTATCATGTGCAGTGTATATAAGCTCCTTCATTTTAGCTAGCTTGTCAAGCTGAGAGAACCATTCTTTAAGAGGGGGCATCTGTGTACACTTCCAATATCGGGGGATGCACATGTGAGCTGTAGTGATCATATGCATTACCAGTGATTTGTGCTATTTACGACCCAGAGAAGCTGAATGATGAAGCAAATATTGAGCAGGTGTGTAGTCCAGAGGGTAGGAGGTTACTCGTGTAATAATATCATGAACTTATTTCCAGTAAGATTGTATAATATCACACTCCCAGCGTATGTGGAGCATAGTACCTGGTGCTTGATTGCATCTCCAGCACAGATCAGTGACATCTGAGTACATTTTGCTCAAGAGATGTGGGGTACGGTACCAACGAGCATAGCTTTTAAAGTTATGTTCTTGGATGGAATTGTTTACAGAGCCTTTATGGATGGTAATATGCACTTGTTCCCATTGGTCGTCAGACAGTGAAGTTCCCAACTCTGTTTCCAACTTACGCATAATGCGATCAAAGATATCTAAAGATCCAAAATCAAACCGAGAGAGAGACACAAACTCAAATGTCTTTGAGAAACTTTGGAGGAGCAGAGAGTTTCAAAGCATGTTTGTTTTCTGCCATAAGCTGAACAGCTCGACTCGTTAAGCGTCGGATTTGTAGATATGACCACCAGGAAAATGGGCTCGAAGAGTCGGAAGCAGCCAAGTCTGCTTGTGGGTGGATAGAACCTCTGATGTGGAAATCGCTTTCCCTAACACAGGAAGATTCTAAACAACTCTTGTGAAAAAAAGGTTGCAGGCCCAGGGGAAATCCAGATTAACCATAAGAGGGGTCATCTGTCCAGGAAATTTGCTGTCTTTTATGTAAGTAATGAAAGCAGGGTGTGTGTTAACTTGCTTAGGGGTATCAGTGACAGGAAACCACTGTACCAGTGTCAAAAAAACATCAGCTATTTCTTCCAGGTTCACCCACGCTTTGGTCTTAGCATGTATGTGCCAGTCCAACGTCTTGGTAAGCAGAAAAGCTCTGTGATACAAATTATTGTCCAGGAAGCCAATACCTCCTGCACTTTTTGGTAGACACAGCTGTGCCAGGCTCAATCTCTGCATCATCCCCTTCTAGAAGAAGGTAGAGAACCACTGTCTGAGTTCTCGGAAAAAGGGGTGGGGGAGAGGTATAGGGACGGCCTGCATGAGATAGAGGCAGCATGGAAAAAGGGATCTAGCGGATGACAGATTAGTGTATGGGCCCACTGCCAGTACCATGTGATCACTGTCAGGGCCATCTTTAAGGAGGGGCAAAAGGGGCAGCTGTTCTGGGTTCAGTCATAATTGTGGGGCCCAAAGCAGCTGGCCTATCCTTGCTGACTGTCCCAGTTTACATTCTCTTGTTCTTTGAAGTCTTTGTCCAGCGCTGTGCCCCAATATATCAGTGTGAAATGCTGTTACTTATGTTGCCCAGGTCTGCCCTATTGCCATGATATTCATATGTAAAGAAACGCAGGATGGCGGCATTGGTATGTAAATAGTGTGGGCAATCATATGTGAATACCGGTGGCATTTATATGTGTATTATGCCCCTTGAGGTTCCAGCCACCATCTCTGCTGAATGCTGTCCACTGGGGTGGTAAACAGGGGCATGCTTGAAAGTCCTGCCTGCAACTGTGGTCACATCAGTCTGTTCTACAAAGATATGCAAAGTGTGGTGTGTGTGTGTGTGCAGAGGTAGGTAGAAAAAGAATTACAGTATGGGGTGCACAGGTAGCAAGGAGGGGATTTACAGAGGTAAGGAAGGTGGGTGCAAAGATGAGCAGAGGAGGCATGTGGAGTTAAGGTGGGGGTGGTTAAAGTGAAGAGGGTAGGGGAGGTTTGGGGTGTAGAGGTTAGGTGGAAAATTTAGGATGCAAAGGTGTACTGACGGGGTGGATAAAAATGTACGTTATGTGTAGGGCAGCTCATTCATTTCAATGGGCTACTCTATGCACTAGAAATGCAGAAATAAAGTCCCCAACCCTTTTTCAAAATCTCACCGAGCTACAGCATCGTGAGTTTTGGTGCATGTGGAAATGCGCACGTCAGCAGATGCGTGAGGGTGTCATTAACAATTAATGGCACTGCTGTGTATCTGGAAAGTGATTTTGCATGCATTCCTGATATGCACAAATGTGAACATAGACTAAATGGCTCAATTACATTGGTAGTCAGTGTATGTCCTTTCCTTACTTTGGGGCTTGGTGTAGAATCCTTTCTTTCACACTAGAGGTCAGTGTGAATGTCGCCCCTTACATTGGTGGTCAGTGGAAATCCCACCTTACATTGGTTGTCACTGTGAATGGTCCTATTACATTAGTGGTAAGTGTAAATCCCCATTACATTGGTGGTCACTGTAGAAACTTCTCTTTATATTGGTATTCAGTAAAAAATCCTAACTTGCATTTGTGGTTAGTGTCAAATCTTCCTTTACATTGGTGGTCCACGTAGAAGCCTCTCCTAAAATTGGTGGTCATTGTAAATTCCCCCTTACATTGGTGACCAGTGTAGAAATGTATTGGTCGTTGATGTAAAATACCCCATTTTTGATTACATTGGTTGTCAGTGCAGATTCCCCATTACATTTGTGGTTAGTGTAAATTCCCCTTTACATTGGTGGTAAGTGCAGAATTGCCCTTACACTGGTGGTCATTGTAAATTCCCTCTTACATTGGTGGTTGATGTAGAAATGTCACCTCCCATCCCCATCCAGCATTGCCACTGATCCCAGCCACCCAAAACACTGCCAGTGATCCCATCCCCCCAAGTACTGCCACTGGTGCCATCCCGCCACCACCACTGTCACTCAACCCATCCCCCAGCACTGCAAGTTATCCCATCAACCCCCCCACCACTGCCACTGATCCCATCCCCCTACCATTACCACTAATGCCATCAACCCCCCAGCACTGCCACTGATCCCACCCCCCCCCAGCACTGCCACTAAATCCAGGAGCCATAGAATCTCTAGGATTTTTCTGTCTATTAGTGGGTCCCCTCACCTTCCCAGTCCATGGTGTGCAGGCAGTGAGGATATGTAACCATCAGCAAGCAATCAGTGAGCTGTAATTATCTGCTGTAACCTCTAGCAATCAATAATTAAGTGGTAATTATGCACAGTAACCAATAGCAACCAATCTATGAGCAGTAAAAATGTGCAATGACCTCTAGCAACCAATCAGTGAGCGTTAATGATGTGCAGTAACCTCTAGAAACCAATCAGTGAACAGTAGTGATCTGTTGAAATTTCTATCAACCAGTCAGTGAACAATAATGATGCACAGCAAGCAGAAATTATGTACTGTAACCTCTAGCAACTAATCAGTGAGCCATAATGTGCACTGTAGCCTCTAGCAACCACAGTGAGTGGCAATGATATGCAGTAACCTCTAGCAACCAATCAGTGAGCAATAAATGCGTAAATAGTAAAAGCGAGTGCAAAGTTATAAGAGCAGCTGATGATATAGATTATTATATAAAGAAAGTGCAGCGCTAAAATTTAGTAAGACAAATATGCGTATAAATATGTTTGCTGAAGAATCTATGAACTTTTATTAATTTTATTATTTATTTTTATTCTCATAAATTGACATTTTATGGTTTACAAACATATTTATATGCATATTTGTCTTACTAAATTTTAGCGCTGCACTTTCTTTATACAATCAGTGAGCAATAAAGATGTGCAGTAACCACTAGCAACCAATCAGTGAGCAGTAATGATGTGCAATAACCTTTAGCAGCCAATCAGTGAGCGGTAATAATGTACAGTAACTTCTAGCAGCCAATCAGTGAGCGGTAATGATGTACAGTAACTTCTAGTAACCAATCAGTGAGTTGTAATAATCTGCAGTAACCTCTAACAACCAATGGGTGAGCAGTAATGATGTGCAGTAGCCTCTAGCAACCAATCAATGAGCAGTAATGATGTGCGGTAACCTCTAGCAACCAATCAGCAAGCAGAAATCATGTGCTGTAACTTCTAGCAACTAATCAGTGAGCTGTAATGTGTGCTGTAATCTCTACCAACCAGTCAGTGATCTGTAATGATATGCTATAACTTCTGGCAACCAATTGCAATTGTTGCCTGATCTGCTAAATAAACGAATTTTGAGTCTAAATAAATAAATTAATTAACCACTTGCCTACAGGGCACTTATACCCCCTTCCTGCCCAGGCCAATTTCCAGCTTTCAGTGCTGTCACACTTTGAATGACAATTGCGCGGTCATACAATACTGTACCCATTTGAAATATTTATCATTTTTTTGTGACAGAGCTTTATTTTGGTGGTATTTAATCACCTCTGGGTTTTTTATTTTTTTCTTAAACAAACCAAAAACCACTGAAAATTTTGAAAAAAAAAACGTTTTTTCTTAGTTTTTGTTATAAAATTTTGTAAATAAGTGATTTTTCTCCTTCACTGATGTGCGCCAATGAGGCTGCAGTGATGGGCACTGATAGGCTGCACTGATGGACACTGATAGGTGGCACTGATAGGCACTGATGAGGAGGCACTGGTAGGTGGCACTGATGGGCATTGACAGACATCACTGATGGGCACTGAAATGCAGCACTGCTATATGGCACTGATAGGTGGCACTGATAGGTGGCACTGACTGGCACTGATAGGTGGCACTGACTGGCACTGTTGGGTGGCACTGATAGGCAGCAATGACGGGCACTGATGCGCACTGATAGGCAGCACTGACTGGCACTGATAGGTGACACTGATTGGCAGCACTGATTGGTGGCACTGATTGGCATTGATAGGTGGCACTGACTGGCACTGATGGGTGACACTGAAAGGCAGCTCAGATGGGCACTGATATGTGACATTGATGTGCACTGGTAGACATCGATATGTGGCACTGATGGGCACTGGCAGGTGGCATGGATGAGCACTGAGAGCTGGCACTGATGGACACTGACAGGTGGCACTGCTGGGGCTACACAGATCATCAGGGCACACTGATCATCAGTGCTCTGATGATCTGTGTACATGTCTGAGAACAAATACTGTAAGTTCTGTAAATAGGGGAGAGAGGAGGAAGGTGAGGGTAAGTGACACCAATGCTCCACAGTCGCAGGCTCTGGTCTAAACCCTTGCAGTGCTGGATGATCACTACTGTCAGTGGAGAAAAGAGTATCTGGTGTCAGTGGAGGAAAGATTTCTATAGTAAATGGCAGCCAGCAGACATTTTTAACTAAACGTCAGCTGGATATTTAAAGTGGTTGTAAAGGCTTTTACATGCAGCTCATCCCCTCGCCCCTCCCCCCCCCAAATACTTACCTGAGCCTGATCTTGATCCAGCGCTGTGCCCGAGAACAGTGGCACTGCTCACTCTCTCTCCCTCCTCACTGGACTCAGTGAGAACAGTGGAAGCAATTGGCTGTAATCAAATACAGCGGTGAAGGAGCTGGGGGCAGGGCCAGAATGAATTGTCTTTGTCTATAGACGCACACAGTGCAGCTCAGGATTTGAGCCCATATGAGTGCACCCATAGCAAATGGCCTTCCCAGGAGCATTGGGCCTGCGATGTGCAAATTCATCTCACCTGTATAACATGTTTGTTAGTAAAAAAAAGAAAAAGAACCTTTACAATCACTTTAAGAGAGAGGTGATATACTACTGTTGGTTACTCAGTAAAACCAATTTTTACAACAGTGTGATTGAAATGTAATGGATATTCTTTAATTATGAATACATATATATTGTATAGTCTATTACTTGCAATGACAGGATAATATCACACTCACCAGTGTAGTGCAGCAGTTTCAGTGTGCTGATCTCGATATCCAGACTCAGTTTGACATTCAGCAACTCTCGGAATCTTCCTATCAGGGGAGTCATTTCCTGGTCTTTCATTTGCAGGGCAACCTCTAGCTCAGCCAGCTTAGGCTTGCCATTTTTGGCAGCAGTCTTACCATGTTCCTCAGCCTCATTATTGGTGGCCTCTGGCTCAGCACACTAGGAAAATATGTATTAGGAATTAAAATATGTAAACCCAACTTTTCATTCTCCTAATATGTGCTTGCTGTAGAAAAAGGGGGAAAAAGGTATTTGTAATGTTTTTTTAATATGTTTACACAAATGTTTTGCCTTTCATGTCTATTTTAAACTAGGTTGTTTTACAAGGTGAGGGCTTACATGTACTTTAATTATATAGATGATAATATTTTCAGAAAGAACACCAATTTTCCCTATTGCTTATTTAGCTTTCCATGTGTAGCACTACCACCTTAGAAGCCCCCTAAAGCTCTGCACAGCCAGGCAACACACCTTTTCTTCCATACTTTCAGAGTCAGTAAAAAGTCCTTGAGCTTGGTTTTGTGATTTTTTTAAAGGGTTGTTAACTTGGACACAGTTGAGGGTTGTATATGATGCACAAGGAAACTGCAAACTTGAGGACAACTATATACAAAAATGCAGACAAAAATAGTCTCTCCTTCAAGAGCCTCCAAAGCTCTTTGATGTACCTTCTCAGACCCCAGATGAATCCTCCTCTTCACCCAGCTGCACTGAGTGTATTCCCTGAGCAAGGGGGCCAAGAAGCTGCTAATACAGAATGGCAGTCCCAGATGAGGAGGAAGTTGGGTTCTCCACTTGACTGCCCTATCCACCCAGGGGGTGTAAGAGTACTCATACTGTAATTCCTGATAGCTTAATGGGTTAGGGGCTGCCTTCAGGCCTTTTGCTGGGCTGGCTCCTTCCCTGCTGCTCAAGTTGTCCTCCCTTGGAGATGGTGGCACATTGTAGATCCTCTTCTCCAGCACCTGCCTGTAGGTAGGCCTCTTCCCTGGGCCCCCTCCCAGGCTCCACACTCCAGCCTCTCACTCTGACTCTCCACTCTCTCACACTGAATACTTCCTCACAGGCTCTACGATACATATAGGGTTGCCTTGTTTACCATGCATAGCCTCCTGCCAGGGGATTGGTAAAGGTCCCTCATGTATGCTGATCTGAGCCTTCTCCCTTCCTCCATCCCTCCTGCAGAAAGCTCTCAAGTTAGCTCTATCTAGCCTGTCCAGAGGTTAACTCTCTCTACCTCATTCCCCAGGCTGACTCATCCCCAAGCTGCTAATCAGTCTCTATCTAAAAAAAAAACTAGCTAACCTGAAGGGCATTAGACATGTTTTGTCTGGGAAAATACAATTATAACATTTATGCATACAGTATATGTAAGCAGGATATTGCAACAAAATTTGTTAGCTCTTTTTTCCACAAAACTCTAAGTTTCATTACTAAGCTCTTTGATAGTCAAGGGAGGTGCTGATTGGCTTTGGTAAATGTTAGCACTTCCAACAAGCAGCACTAGGATAATCGGTTTGAATTCTGCTTGCCTGGAGCTTGCATGTTCTCCTTGTGCCTGAGTGGGTTTCCGCCAGGTACTCTTGTTCCTCCACACTCCAAATACATGCTGGTAGGTTAATTTTCTCCCTGTCTAAACTGGCCCTAATGTACTATATGTATGAATGTGAGTTAGGGACCTTAGACTGTAAGCTTCTTGAGGGCAGGGACTGATGTGAATGTCCAATATATATGTAAAGCGCTGCATAAATTGATGGTGCTATATAGGTATCTGTAATAAATAAAATAATACCCCAGAAAGATGGGCCCTGTGTATAAGAACAATCTGACCATTCTCAGGCAGAGCTGTCTGATCTTGTAAGACCAACCATAGAAAATGTAGATATTACTTTCTAAAGCAATATATTCTAAATCAATTAGCACAACCAAAATAAATACCTACGTGACAATATTTCAAAACTGATGTTACCAGCTAGCACCAATTAATTGAAATCGCCACACTCAATTTAAATCAGTTACTACCAAATTAGGGCACTGCAACACAATCCACAAAGTGTTAAATGAATACCAAATATAAACAAGTCTGAGAAAACTAATAATAAATAGGGATATTAACTACTTGCCGACCAGCCACAGTAGATATACTGCGGCAGGGGGGCACCACTGCGCAAATTTTTGGGTAGGGGGCGCGGGTGTCAGCAATTACCGGTAAACGCTGACAGGGAGGACGGCTGCATTGTTTTTAATGCAGCTGTCCACCCTGTCAGTTTGGGCACACTGATCCAGATGGATGATCTCAGCCTTCAGGATCAGTGTGCTTACAGTGAAGCACACCCCCTCCCTGCCCCCTAGTAAACAAATCCCCTGACACAGTTAACCCATTGATTGCCTTCTAATGTTAACCCCTTCCTCCCTAGTGCCATTAGTACAGTGTCAGTGGTTTTTGTTTGCACTGATCACTGTATTGGTGTCACTGGGGATGTCAGTGACCCCAAGTCAGTTCCCCCCCAGTGTCAGAATGTCTTCTGCAGTTGCTGATAGCCGCCATAAGTCGCTGATCGCCACCATTATTAGTATATATAAAAAAATTTTTTCCAGTATATATACCACCATTTGTAGTTGCTATACCTTTCACGTAAACCAATTAATTTACACGTATTGGGATTTTGTTTAGCAAAGACATGCTTTAGAATACATTTTGGCTTAAATTTATGATGAAATTTGATTTTTACATTTTTTTACTGGACATGTTTTATAGCAAAAAGTCCAAAATATTTTTTCTCAAAATTGACAGTCTTTTTTTTTTATAGCGCAAAAAATAAAAAACGCACAGGCGATCAAATACCACCAAAAGAAAGCTCAATTCGTAAATTTCATTTTGGTGCAGTGTTGCATGACACCAGCTGTAATGCAATTGTCAGTTAAAGTAATGCGGCGTCGTCGTAGCACAAACTGCTTCTGTAACTGCTTCCTGACCGCCCTATAGCAGAAATACTGCTACAGGGTGGCACGGCTGCGCGTATATATACGTGATTCGCGCTCCTGTGGTTTTCACGCCCCTCCAAGATAGCATCAGATTGCCCATCAGTACACCAGAAATCACATTTAACCCCTTGATTGCCAGGAACACGCTCATACACAATAAACCTCCATTGCTAGTATAGTGTCTGAATGGATCAATATCTCTGATCAGATCAGCACTATACCAGCGTTCACATTAGTATAGTGTCCCCAAAAATGCAGCGTTAGCGGGATCAGCCCCGGCACCTGCCAGCACCTGCGTTTAGCCCCAATGCTTACCCCCCCTTCTTCCCCAATAAGTGCAGTGTCAGTAGGTCAGTGTCATTTGATACATTGCACACAAAACCGCAGTGTTCGCAGAATCAGGCCTGATCTCTGTTAGCATTTACCAGTAAATTTTGATGACTAGTACATCCTGTTCTTTCACATACCAGCACTGCAGTATCACTTGCTGATGTGGCGAGTCCCATAAGTGCAGTACAAGCTGGTGTGGTGGCGAGCACAAGTATTATCCCGCAACCACCAAGAATTTGCACACAGGCCCGTAGAGCCCCTAGTATCCTTCCGGATGTGCTTGCAAATCCTGATTGGCAGCCCACAAATTCTGCAGCACCTGTACTTCCCTCATTCACTGCTCAACCTGGAATTCAGGTGGAAACAGCAAATTTAACTACTCCCTTGATTTTTTGGAGCTGTTTTTCATGGAATATCTGTATGCATTGATTATGGATCAAAGCAATTTATAAGCACAACAATTTAAATTCAAACCTTGCCAGACCATTTGCATGGAAACCCATTACGGTTTCCTAATTTACATTTTTTTGGGGCCTAACCCTCAACATGGGCATTACTAAAAAAAATAAATTACGGTTGTATTGGTCCAGAGGTCCAGAGATCCAGAGATTCATCATATGCCCGTGTTCTCTGTTGCCATGGCCAGGCATAGATATGAGAGTATGATGTATTTTATGCATTTCAACAACAATACACTCTGTCATCCTTGGGGTGACCCTGAAATTGACCAGCTCCACAACATTCAGCCCCTCGTAAATGACCTTAACCAAAAATTTGCAGATGTCTACACTCCCCAGTCAAAAATCTGTGTTGCTGAGTCCCTCATTAATCTTTCTGGCCACCTTGCATTCAAACAATTTTTCCCCAGCAAACATGCCATATATGGGGTCAACATGTATAAGACCTGTTAGAGGGCAACAGGCCCCCCGGATGCCAAGACTACATGGGGAGCAGTGGCAAGATAGTTTGGGACTTGGTGTCATCCTTTTTCCATATGGGGTACTACTTATATGTGGACAATTTTTATTCAAGCGTGCCACTATTTAGACATCTGTAC